GTGGTGTTTGTAATAGCCGGAACCCGGAAGCAACCTAGATGCCCCTCAACCGAAGAATGGATGGAGAAAATGTGGTATATGAAGTATTACTCATCGGAAAAAAAAAAACAAACAATGAAATCTTGAAGTTCACAAGCAAATGGATGGAACTGGAAGAAAACATGAGTAAGGTAATCCAAGCATGGTATGTACTCACTCATATGTGGATATTAGACATAGAGCAAAGGAGTACCAGCCTACAATCCATACCACCGAAGAAGCTAGGAAACAAGGAGGACCCCAAGAGAAAAACACATGGTCCCTCGAAGAAGGGGAAAGGGACAAGAACCCCTGAGCAAATTGGGAACATGGGGGGGGGGAAGGAGGGCGGTAGGAAAAAGAGAAGGGGAGAAGAGGAGAGAGGAAGAGAACCAGAGGGATCAGGAAGACTGCCACAGGGGAGGAATAGAGGAGAGCAAGAAAGGAGATACCTTGATAGAGGGAGCCAGTACAGGTTTAGAGAGGTCTGGCACTAGGGAAATGTTCAGGGATCCACAGGGATGACTCCAACTAAGAATCCAGGCCTTTGATGTCTTTCCCCTATAATGAGATTAATGACTACCTTGGTTGCCATCCTAGAGCATTCATCCAGTAGCTGATGGAAGCAGAAGCAGGCACCCACAGCTAAACTCTGAGCCATACTCCTGAAATCCAGTTGTAGAGAGGGAGGAGGGATGAGCAAAGGAGCCAAGACAGTGCTGGAAAAACCCATAGAAACAGTTGACCTGACCTAGTGAGAGCAGAGACCTTGGTGGTAAAGCTGGGGAACCAGCATTGAACAAATCAAGCCCTCTGAATAAGAGTGCCAGCTGGGAGGCCTGGGCAGTCCATGGGACCACTAACAGTGGAGCCAGTGTTTATCCCTAGTGCACAAATGGACTTTGGGAGCCCATTCCCTATGGTGGGACACTATTGCAGCCCAGACACAAGAAAGAGGGCCTAGGCCCTCCCCCAAATGATGTGACAGACTTTGATGATCCCCCATGCAAAGCTTCACTATCCTTGGGGAGTTGGTGGGGAGTGAGTTATGGGGGCCAATGGGGGCCATGGGAGGGTGAGGGAACGGAGGGATTGATATGTAAAATAAGATTGTTTCTAAAAAAATAAAAAAGAAAATAAAAGAGTTGCCTTGATCATGGTATATTTCCACAGCAGTAGAACATTAACTAAGACAAGCTTCCCTCTTGCTTTGAGACAGGATCTCATTAGGTAGCCCTGGTGGTTATGTGTTGACTATACTGGTCTGGAATACACAGAGATCCCACCTGTCTCTGCCTTGAGAGTGCTGGGATTAAAGGCATGTGCCACCATGACCTTTTTTTTTTTTTAAATGGAAACTAGATATTCTTTACTAGTTTAAAAAATTGAAGATACCACACTTTAAGAGGCTCTTACATACAGTACAAGTCTAATTGACAGATGTGGAAATCAGTCAGGGGAGACTTCCTCAGACACTGCCATGACACAGACTTGATGCCCTCTCTCAAAAGAATCCTATAGCCGGGCAGTGGTGGCTCATGCCTTTAATCCCAGCACTCAGGAGGCAGAGGCAGGCGGATCTCTGTGAGTTCGAGACCAGCCTGGTCTATTGAGTGAGTTCCAGGACAGGCTCCAAAGCCACAGAGAAACCCTGTCTTGAAAAACCAAAAAAAAAAAAAAAAAAAAAAAAAAAAAGAACCCTATAAAAAATTGCTCCCAAGCCTCTCTGAAATCAAAATAGTGTAGCAAAACCCAAGGTAAACAGCTGCCTGCTGACTCAATACTCAAATATAGACTGAAAACCAACAGGCATTTTTTTTCTCGTGTGCAACTTTTAAAAACAAATCATTAAGTTGAAATATCCAATCCTCACAGTGCTGTGCCTTCACAGAAGGCAAAAAACTTGCCGGGGCATCATGTCAGAGCCGACCTCGGTGCTGTAGGCTGTGAAAGCGGGCCTCCTTCAGGGTCTGACCGATAGGGAAGTAAGGGCCTTGGCACAGTTCAGACTGCCCAGGCACTGGCTGGGGGGTGCTGGGTCAGGTTCTGGGGATGATCTGGCTTAAGCTCTCTGACCCACTGGCCTTGTCCAGCCTGTTGATGCTGCTGCTCCCACCACCATCACTGCTCACAGACTCTGTGTCCCAGGAGTCCTGGAAGATGGGCTCCTACTGCTCCTCTTGGTATGGGGCGGGAGGTGGTTATCATCATCATTACTTCTCCTTTTCCTGGGGCAGAGGCGCTCCGACCTGCTTTTTGTTGGTGCTCTTGACATCATTATCTTCTCTTACACCAATTCTAAAGAGTTATGTGCAAGAGTGTTTTTGAGTGTATATATGTGTACTATATGTGTGTGAGTGGGAGCCAGAGGGGGCTGAAGTCCCTGGAAGTGGTGTTACTGGTGAGATGTACAATGTGGGTGCTGGGAACTGAACCCAGGTTTTCTGCAAGAGTAGCAAGTACTCTTAACTGCTCAGGCACTTCTGCAGGACTTTATTTCTTGTTTATAAACACCATTCCCCACCCAGGGGGACAAGGCTCATTGGAAAAATGGCTGAGAAAGTATGGGAATTTAGTGCCACAAAACAGGCAAATGCCAAACAGCACTGCAGGTATGCAGAAAGCTGCAGAGGTTGTTTGAAGGGTTTCCTCTGACCCCAACCAAAGGAAGCACAGAAGTATTCATGGGAAGAGCTAAGACAGGGGTTCCAGCCCTAAGCCCCAACAGGACACTGACTCTTACAGCTACTTTGTACTTTGTGGGAGGTGCCAGGACCCAGTGGAGGGAAACATCCAGGAACACACACGAAGGTAAGGACATTTTACACGTCATACCTCCTCAAAGAGGCCCCTCAGTTGTGATTTCACTCAAAAGGAAGTGGGTTTTCCAATATTGTAGGGCTTTGTCCAGGGTGGGGCATTCTGCCTCACCCCAGAACTCTAAGAGACTCAAGACAGCCAAACCACACAGAGACTGCTGAGAGAGGTGTGTAAAGCCTGAGTTCCAGATCTCAGTAGGTGTGTGCCCGTGACCAGCATGGACTCCAGAAGGACCCCCCCCCCAGGACAAGCTATTTACAGATCAGAACCCCCTCAGGTGAAGCACACCCCAGTGTCAGGTGACCCCTGTACATGGAGATCACCTCAGCAGCAGGTGTGGCTCTTAGCAGCAGCTCCACTCTGCTGGGCTGGCAGACGGTAGAACAGTGCAAGGTACCAACCACCCTAGGGGACATAAATGCGAGGTTCACTGCATCAAACCTGGCTTTGCAGGATGGAAACTAGGCTTACAGTTCCAAGACTTCCTCTAAGGAGGAGCAGATGTGCCCAGAGGTCTGAGCATCTCCCTGAGCCCTGGCTGGGATGCCCGGTAAAGCCTTTTCCAAATCAGGTTAGCAAAGGTAGAAGGCAATGGCTTCTTAATACACAAGATGGTGAGGCAAGGCTTGAGAGAACACTGACAGCAAGGACTGAAGGAACCAAGTTGAGCTCCAGGGGCTGACCCAAGAGACATCCGAGACATGAGGAGCTATCTGCAATAGCCTGAGAAGGCACTGAAGGACCTTCAAATAGCCCACTGAGCTGCAAGGGATCACTGCCGGACAGCTGAGCAGCCAGGAAAGCAACACCCGAGAAAGAAACCTCAAAGGGAACCTTCTTGGAAATTCAGAGCTGAAGAACACACAACATTGGAACTGTGGAATTTCAGAGTTTCAACAGTGCACACAGTCAGACAGAAGACCCAGCAAGCGCTCGGCAGATATGGAAACTATCTACATTCTGAGCAAAAAGACAAGAGAACCAAGAGAGCAAAGAATCCTACAGGGTTTAGGGTAAAACACATCAAAACACGCAGCATGGGGTCCCAGAGAGTGGGGAAGAAGGCTATACAGAGAAGTAACTGGGGGGACTTTCCAGATTATAATGATAAAGAACTCCAAACATATGAAATGAAGGTCTTAACTGAGACATCTTATAACCAAACCATTAAATGTCAAAAAGAGAATTCTGGAAGCACCAAGAAGAAAGAAGCACAGTGGGGTGATATGCTAAAATTAGAACAACACAACCATCAAACCCAAGATATTAGTCTCTTGGTTCTAATTCATTTCTATTGCTGTGATATAAGACCCTGACAAAAAACGGGAGGACTCTGGTGGTTTGAAAGAAAATGCCCCCCCCGCCACAAAGTGGCACTACTAGAGGTGTGGTCTTATTGGAGTAGGTATTGTTTGTTGGAGGAAGTGTGTCACTGTGGAGGCGGGCTTTGAGGTCTTTGCTTAAGCTTCACTCAGTGACACAGTAGACTGACTTCCTGTTGCCTGCAAGACGTAGGACTCTCAGCTACTCCTCCAACACCACATCTGCCTTCATGCCACCATACTCCCTCCATGATGACAATGGACCAAACATCTGAAACTGTAAGTCTGCCACCCCAATTAAATGTTTTCATTTATTAGAGTTGCCATGGTCATAGTATTTCTTCACAGCAACAGAAACCCAAACTTAGACAATTTTAGGTTACAGTCCATGACAGCAGGGAATTCAGGGCAGGAACTTGAGGCAGTTACTCACTTCATATCCAGTCAAGGGCAGAGAGAAATGAATGCTGCCTGGAATGCAGCTAGCTTTACTCTTACACAATCTAGGATTTCCTGTCTACCTCCCTAGATGCCACCCAGAGGGCTTGTCCTCCCACATCAAGTAATCAAGACAATCCCCTACAGACACACGCAAATGTGTACTGTCTCATCTAGACAGATCCTCACCGAGAGTCTCTTCCTATGTGAATCTCCATTTCCGCAATTTGACGTTGACTAAAACTGTTACATATATCCCAAATAACCCCACCCTGCCCACTCAACATACTGTTCCGGCAAGGCTGTCCTTCAGAGATGAAGGGGATGTAAAAACTCCCCCAAACAAAAGCCAAGGTAGCTCATGGACACTCTTAAACCCAAAATACAAGTGAACTGTAAAGGGAGTTTTAAAATTATTTTTATCTCTAGCATAAACGACAAGTATTCAAAATACAACAGCTACATTAAATTGTTAGTGGATACATCAAGGAAGGGGTGTGAATTGTGACACAACCAAATGCAAGGGGGTGTGTATACTGTGGAGAAGCAGTAATGTAGTTTCTGCATGTGATTCAAGTTAAGACAAAGTACACCAGTACAAAAGACTCATAAAAACAAAATGAAATAAAAACAGCAGCGAGGAACAAAGGGTCAGGGCCCCTACAGCAGAAGACAATTCACAAAACAGCAATAGCCTTACTTGGCAAAAGCAACTTTACTTCTCATTTTCACGGTTCTAGGAACTGAAATCTAAGCTGCATGCTGTTGTTATCTAGAAAACCCCCGAAGATGCTATATTCCTAGCCCTGATAACATAAAAAACTTAACCTCTCCACCACAAGACATAGGTGGGTAGATGGGAACAAGCCTCCTTCCCACCTTCCCAAGATCCAACTATCACTGCACACCAGGGACTCACTGTACCGTTAAGGACACATAGACAGAATGGGAAAGTCAATCCACATAAGTGGTAATGGAAAGAGAATGGGGTGGACACATGTACATCAGACAAAAAGTCTATGTCCTGGGCTGGGGAGATGGCTCAGAGGTGAAGAGCACTGACTGCTCTTCCAAGGGTCCTGAGTTCAATTCCCAGCAACCAAATGTTGGCTCACAGTCACCTGTAATGAGATCTGGTGTCCTCTTCTGATATGCAGGAAGAACACTATATACATAATAAATAAATCTTAAAAAAAAAGACTATGTTCTACACTGTCTTAAGTGTCATATTCCCACAATCCCTCAAAGCAGTCTCTACCACTCTACCACAATCTAATGGCATTTCCTCCCACAGAAATGGGGAAACACAAAATAAAACAAACAAACAAAAACCCCAAATTCATTTATATCACAAAAGACCATAACTAAGTGATCTTGAGAAAAACAAAGCCAGGGTTTCATCCTCCTGATTTCAGACTACACTACAGTGGCAGTCATTAGAGCAGAATGAACAACAAACAGATAAGAGGATCGAGACACGATCAGTTAATACTTACACAGGGTGCAAAGAGCAGACAATAGGGAAATCACCATGTCTTCAGTATGCAGTGCTGGGAAAACCAGATATCCACATGCTAAAAGACTAATATTAGACACCTAAGTGACACATAAAAACCAACTCCCAATTGATCAAAGACTAAAAAGTAACCCTGACACTGTGGGTCTGTAGGAAATCCCAGGGCAAAGGCTGTCTGACACTGGATTTGGCAATGTCTTTGGATATGAATCCCAAAGCAGAGAGATGAAAAAGTAAACAAGTGGGACAGCATGGAGCTAGGAAGACTCCACAAAGAAACAACAGTATAAAGGCAGCCTCCAGGGGCTGGCAAGATAACTTAGTGGGAAGAGATGCTTGTTCCAGCGTGACCTGAGTTCAATACCCAGGACCCACCTTTCAGTTGCTGCTGGAACTGAGGATGCAGTGCCAGAGACAGCACCACCATGTCCATTGCAGAGCACCCACAAGAGCAAAGGTTGGTGCCTACCTTTCAGTTGTCCTCTGACGGCTATATGTACACCAAGGCACATGCACAGCAAAAAATAAAATGTAACAAGGCAGCTTTCAGGATGGGTGAAGACATTTGAATCCTGGATCTTACATGGGGTTAATACGAAAATACACAAGGAACTCATGCAACTAAGCAGAAAAACAAACAACAAACCCCAAAACTTGATAAAAAAACAAAATGGGGCAAAGGAATTGAGTAAGTTTTTCCCCAAAGTAGACATAAAATGGCCAACAGGAGCGAGGAAAGGCTGCACATCACTAATCATGAGGGGAATGCAAATGAAAACCACACTGAGGCATTGCCTCATGCCTGTCTGCACGCTCCTGCTAACACCAAACACAAGTGACAAGGGTGTGAACAAAAGGGAGTCCTTGTACTGTGTGGGTGGGATGAAAATTGGTACAGCCATTATGCAAAACAGCGGGGAAGTTCCTCAACAAGCTAACAACAGAAATGCCACAGGGTGCAGTAAGCCCACTGCTGGAACTGAGGATGCAGTGCCAGAGACAGCACCACCATGTCCATTGCAGAGCACCCACAAGAGCAAAGTGTCCATAGATGGGTGAATGCACAGAGAACATGGTCTGCATGCACACTTATCCTTCTCAGAGGGAACAGTCCTGTCTTTTGTGACCACATGGACGACACCATGCAGAAATAAGCCACAGACACTACATGACTTCACCTTCCCACGGCCTCTGAAACACACACGAAAGCAGAGTAGGAAGTGTCTGTCTGTCAAGGGCAGTTATGTCCAAGGGCACCATCACTCAACAATGTAGAGGAAGGAGTTCTGGCATTGACTTTAAAGCATGGCTAACAGCTGTGTCACGCACTTAAACGCACCTGACGCTAAATGACTTCATCAGCCATACCCAAGCCACAGCAATAATGAAGGGGTGGGAGCACACTCTGAAAAGGTGACAGTTTCATGTGGGCATACGTATCCCAAAACTCATCAAATTGTACACACTGAAACAGTTTATGTGTCAACCACATAATTTAGAGTAAGATGGAGAGATAGCTAAGCAGGGAGGAGCACTCCTAGAGGACTTAGGTTCACAGCACCTCACATGGCAGCTCACAACATACATGCAAGCAAAACACTATACACATACATACATACATAAATAAATAAATAAATAAATAAATAAATAAATAAATAAATAAAACAGGCCATAGTTCCTTGCCTTACACTAGGTAATATGGGGATCTAGGAGTCAATAGCGGAGGAAAGGGTGCTGCTTCTTATCATAGAATAAGAATAAACACAGGCTGGGCAGAGTCTGTGCATGCTATTAATTCCAGCACTTGGGAGGCAGAGGCAGGTGGATCTGAATTTGAGGCTATCCTGGTCTACAAAGTGAGTTCCAGGACAGCCACTGCTACACAGAGAAACTCTCTCTAGAAAACAAAACAAACACTAACCCTCTCCTCAAAAAATAATAAACACAGAAGAAATAGAAAAATCACCTTAGACACTCACTGTCCAATCAAGAGTTATCATTAGAAGGCTAACCTGTGAGGTGCAGTTGTTTTCTCCACTTGGATATGACTATGGCCATCTTGTATCCAACATGCTTTTTGTTTCCCCCCCAGGAAAAGTCACACGATAAAGGGAAGAGTCTGGTGACAAACCCAGTATAAACAATCTTACACAGCCTTGTGTCAGCAGTTTCTGGGATGGTGGAAGCCAGTCTCTCCTGATGGAACTTAAGATAGTCTCACAACTCAGTGGTGGTGCCGCACTACGGAAAATAGCTTAAAAGAGATTTATTTTTAAATAAAGTTTACATCTTTATTTTATAGATGAAACCCTCCATTTTAAAAAAGTGATCTATACATATGTTTGAGACAGGGTTTCTTTATCTAGTCCCAGCTGTCCTGGAACTTGCTATGTGGACCACGTTTGCTTTGAACTCATAGATCCACCTGCCTCTGCATCCCAAGTGCTGGGATTAAAGGTGTGTGCTACCACACCTAGTTTATACATTATTTCTTAACCTTTATTGTAAGAAACACACACACACACAGAGAGAGAGAGACAGAAACAGAGACATAGAGAGACAGAGATAGAGAGACAGAGACAGAGAGAACTGGTATCTCAGCACCTTGCAGTACTTTTCAAATGTAGACATAACACATTTTTTAAAGTACATATTTAGGGCATGACATGGTGGTATATACCTTTAATCCCATCATTTAGGGCAGGGAAAGGGATGACGGGTGGACCTCTGTGAGTTAGAGGCTAGCCTTTTGAGTCCCAGGACAGTTAAGGTTTCATAAGACACTGTGTCTCAAAAAGACAGACAACGATAACACAGACACATTTGGGGGCTGGAGATGTGGCTTAGTGGTTAGTTTGCTATTCTAAGAGGACCTAAGGTTGGTTCCCAGCACCCACACTGGCAGCTTACAACTACCTGGGACTCCAGTGCTAGGGATCCCTTTTTTGGCCTCCAAAGACACAGACGTGTCCACACATTCACATAAATAAAATTTAGAAAAAGTAAGAAAATACACTTTTCTTTCCCGTGTGAAGTTGAAGAGCCAGCCCAGGTTTCAAGCAAGTGTTTTGCCATGGAGCTTTACTCTCAGCCCCCAAATCTATATGCACTATCGACTTGACAGGGTCCAGAGTCACCTGGGGCAAACCTCTGGGAGTAGCTGTAAGGGAGTTCCTTGACTGGGCTAGTTTAGATGGAGACCTGTCTTGAACATGAGTGTCACCTCCCCATGGGCTGGGGTCTTGGACTTAATAAAAAGGAGGTGAGCTAAGTACCTGTGTCTATCTCTGCTTCCTGACTAAAGACACAAAGTGACTAGCCGCCTTGAGTTCTTACTGCATGACACTCCACCATGACAGACTGTGCCTACACAGTGTGAGCCCCAGGAAACCCTTCCTTCCTACTACTGCTCTTGCCAGGTGCTTGTCATAGCAACAAGGACAGCAGCAGACACTGCTAGTTCACCTCAGGGTCAATCCTCAGGGACCTGCATGGAGACCTCCAGATTACACATGGTCACCTCAAGCACACTGTTACAGGGACAGACACACTGTTTTAAAATTCAAACAGAAGAGGTGACTCACATAGGAGCAGCATCCCTGGTCTGTGCCTACCTTCCTGGAATGTGCATTCTACACAGGACTCTGCTGAGCAGAAGGGCTATGACTTACGCTCCGATTTCTACTTGTATTCAGTTGTTTTTCAACAACTGAAGTTTGTGGTTAGTCAAGTCTACAGCACTTGAAAGAGAAGCAAACTGTAAGGCTGTAAAATAAAGAGTATTCATACATCCAAGGTCATTCCTTCTTTCTCAGACTGTTGTACCCCAGTGAGCCCCATGCTAATTCCTTACCCACCACAATCATTTATAGTCACATATGTTCATCTCTCTGTTCTCACCAAATACCCAATATCTATCTGAAGTTGTTCTCCCAAATAGTCCCCAAGGTGGGATTGATGAATGGGAGATATCAGATCCTAAGCACCACAGTTAATCACCACAGTTAATAATTTAGCTTTTGAACATTTTTTTTTTTGGGACAGGGCCTCACAATTTGTTCTAGCTTTCCTGGAACTTGCTATATAGGCCAGGCTGGCTTTGAACTCACAGATCTGCCTGCCATAGATGGTTGGGAGCCACCATGTGGCTGCTGGGAATTGAACTTGGAACCTCAAGAAGACCAGCCAGTGCTCTTAACCTCTGAGCTGTTTCTCCAGCCCTAGCCTCTGAACTTTTAACCAATATTTTAGAAGATTAAAAAAGTCACCAATTTATGATCTCGCCCCAGTTCCCATGGCTTAACGCCCCATCTTTTCGCCCCTTTCCTTTTGATCTGCTATATACATACATATATATTTGAAATACACAGTATAACCCTAGGTTAAAAAAGAAATCTGAAAATATAATATTTAAACCATGACAGATCATGGCATAATTCCTCCTGCTCTTACAGAGGCAGGACAGACCTTTGAATTCACAAATGACATCTCTTGGTCAAATGTTCCCTATCCTTTGGCTACATTCTCAGGATGGCTTTGCCCTGTAAAGACTTGGATGCAAGGCCTGCCCTCTCTCTCAGCAGACTGGCTTCCTCAGCACTTTGCAGAGTCTGTGTGTGCTTCAGTAAGAAGTGGCTAATGAAGAGCTTCAGGCCTTCTTGCAACATTCCCAGCTTTGGGTTTTCAGACACTCTGAAAAGGAATTAGAGACACAGGTCAGGGATGGGCTGGTCTTCCAGATCTCAGTGTCTGGTACCTCAAGCAGGAAGGCAAAACCTACTTTTAGGCATTTGTGTTTTGGATGATGGACCCAAGGTCTTGTATAAGATAGACAAGTGCTCTACTACCGAGACACCCCAGCCTGCCCCTTACTTAAGGGAATCTATTTTTAGGCAGAATCTTGCTGTGTTGTCTAAGTGGCCTTGAACTCCTGGACTTAAAAGATTCTCCTTTGCTCAGCCTCTAGAAACTGTTACCTCAGGAATGTCACTACAGCTGGCTCCTTTTTAAAGACAAAGCAGCCTAGGATAGCTTCAAATTTGGAACACTCCTGCCTCGGTCTCCAAGGTGCTAGACTCCTGGCACATGTTGCCACACTGGTTGCCCCCAGCTTCTTTTGAAGCAGTATTCTTTGTTAAGAACCTCCTTTATTGAGGTCAGTTTGGTCTTCATAGCAAGCTCCAGGCCAGCCAGAAATAATATAGTGGGGTTCTGTCTCAAAAAACAAAATAAAATGAACAAATAAACAAAAAGTAAAATAAAATTTTTCTTTTTTTTTTTGAGACAGGGTCTTACTCTGTATCCTAGTCTGACCTCAAATTCACCAGGCTGGCCTTGAGTTTCTGGGATTACGGTGTGAACCCAGATGCCCAGCTTGCACTTAAGAACTTCCTGAGGGGTGGGGTGGTGAAAGCATATGCTCAGCCCAGAGGCCTGGGCCCAAGTCCCATCACCTCATAAGAAGTAAAGGAAATGAAACTCAAGGAGCAGCTTACATATGCACTTGTTACAAACCACTGTTCTCTATCAGGCAAGTCTTGCAATTCTGCAATCCAGTGCATAGGTATTATAGCTTAGAATTAGGTCTAAAGTCACGCACTAGGCACAACCCTGGTTTTATAAGCCACCAGCAGTGAAATGGGAGTAACCTCCACGCTTGCTCAAATGGCAATCTCTCTGCTCTTTTTTTCATGTCTCATCAGGAAACACTGGGTACATACCTTGAGAAAATTAAACCTAGGTCTTCTTCCTCTGTTTCTATCAACAGCTCAGTCAACACTCTCCGTAGGAAGTGGACTCTAGGTTTATCCAATTCACTGAATTCAATCACCTAAGGGTCAGGGGATAGGAAAACATCACCCTGCTGATTCAGTGTTGCCATGATTTGTGTGACGCTTCTTGCTCTCTGCAACACCAACTGTTGGTAAGTGCACAGAGTACTGCCGGCAGGGCGGGTAGGCTGGCTTCAAGGGTACAACATCAACAGGGTCGGGGGTCGGGGGTGGGGGTGGGGAGTGGTGGTGGTGGGGTGGTGGTGTCATAGCTACAGGGGATATACACTCCAAACCCGAGGTTTACTTAGTAGAGGGGAAACAGGTACTGCCTCTGTCTTCTGAAGTAGTCACTCTTCAGTAACAACTCACAGAGGGGTGTAGGTTATAGGAGAAGCCAATTAGCACACAGTGTGTCCGTGCTGCCCACGAAAGCATCAGGAAGTACACAAAGCACGTCAATTTTAGCAGTAGGATAAGCACACTATACTCCCATCATGGTGGACTTCCACACAGAGCCACTGCTCAGAGAACCACAGACATCAACATGGAGGAAACACAAACTTACAAGCTATTCCAAACATACTTTTCTTAACTTTGGGGTCTTCCTCTAAAATTTTGCATTTCTTTATTCTTTCTCTAACAACTTCAATCCCATCCCACGGCTGCTTATTTTGTTTTGTGACTGACCTCCATGCCAGCTTAAATGGCACGGTGATTTTTCCTTCTCTCTTCCAGGCAGTTGCTGAGATTTTACAGCTTGCCTGTAGCTTTTCCTTTTTTAAAATGCTAATAAAATTGCCCATGCTCTTAAAAGAGAATGAGGGGGGGGGGGGAGGGAGAGGGAGAGAGGCAGAGGGAAGGCGGGCGGGCGAGTGAGCACGTGCGAGCTGCAGAAGTACAGTGTATGGTAACAAGGTACTGCTTAGAGAGGCCTGACTTATGCCCACATACACTCTGCTCACAACAAAAAAGCATGCCTAGGAACAAGAATTAACACCACATTAGAGTGGCTGCCTGAGAAAAGCTAAGGGCACAGTCAAGAGCCCAGGAACAGGGTCAGGGGTGTGTCTAGGGCCCTGTGACAGCTATCCTTGGTTGTCAGCTTGACTACCTTTGAACCTAAAACCCCACCTGTGAGGGATTTTCCCTTCATTTGAAATGGGAAGATCCGCTTCTAATAGAGCACGAGGAGGGAAGACACGCCTTTAATCTGGCCACACCTTCCGCTGGAAGCCATCCATATACGGACATGGAAGAAGGGAGCTTCTGCTCTTTGCCTGTCTGCCCAGCCTCGCTAGTAAATTTACATTATTTATTGATTGGATATGTTCTGTGATGGTTATGATAATGAACACATTTTCATAGCTAGGGGTAGTAGGGGTGAATGGCAGCGACAGGGGCACACACCTTTAACCCCAGTGCTGGGGAGGCAGAGGCAGGCAGAACTGAGTTCAAGGACAGCCTGGAGTGAATTCGAGGACAGCCAAGGCTACAGGGAAACCCTGTCTCAAAAGACAAAACAAACAAAAACCAAAAACCAAGAAAATATTTCAGAAGCTCAGAAAATGCATTTTAAAACTATAGCAAATAAAAATAATTTTACTAATTTCTTCCATTATACATACCTTCAGGATAGAAAGTGGAAGTGACTTTGTCTTCAACAAGTGTGCCACCAGATGAACCAGATTTGAGAACTTAGTGGCTGTCAAATTTTCTAAGTCCCGAAATTTGTCCCATATGCTGAACTGGAAAGTCATCTAATTAACAGTAAAGAAGAAAAAAGATAAAATGTAATAAATCGCTGGAACAACTCAGGATGAACGTGCTCTAAAGGTACACTATTTCTTACTCCTCGTTGTCAATAACCCAAATCAGGACGAAGAGCAACTTCCCTTCCTGTCACCACACAGAAGCCTCTTTTTGATTGCAATTTTGTCTCACACGTCATCACATAGTGACAACCAGCTATTAGAGGTTAGTGCTGGACAGACTGCAGAGGCGGGTGTCCGGCGGGCTGACAGCACTCCTCCAGCTGTAACAGACAAGGAGTCTAGGGAAGTCCTGGACCCTTGTTACCTTGCCCCACTGTCTTCTCTCCACTGCGGGCCAGCCTGGCCAAGATCCGCGATGCGGACACGAACCTCCTGGTAATGAGCTAGGCAGATGTGGTGATCTTCTAAATTACCTGGAATCTCCTTTCATAGCTGCAGAACTTGCTAGCCAGGAAAGCATAGAAAGGGTTATAGGTTTTTTCCTGCAGGCAGCAATCCATGAGGATGTGAACAATCTCTCTCTCCTGCTGGTCCTTTAGCCCAAGCCTGCAGACAAACAGCCAGACTAAGAATGTATTCTACTTGCAATTTTTATGGCAAAATCAGCCTCTCCCTGACTGAGGAGTCCGTAAGAGAGTGAGCTGGTAAAGATGGTAGTGACAGTCACATATTGGGACACAACCCAGTCTTGCTCCTAGCTTCTATGGGGCTCAGTTTTCCTAATAATAAGGAGAAATGTGTGTGGCACAATATAACTCCCAAATTATAAAGTAGCTACAATGCTGAATACTGGTTCTTGCAGATAATACAGAGAACTCTCCTGTGATACATGAAGCTGGGTGTGGTTAAAGTAATGACTTTATTTTTTGATTTTCTTAAATTGTATTTTAAAATTTTTTAAATTTTTACATGTATGGGTGTTTTGCTTGCATGTATGTGTGTGCATCACCTGCGTGTCTACTGCTCATGGAGACCAAAACCAGGCATCTAAGGCTCTAGAACTGGAGTACAGATGTTTGCGAGCTGTCCCCTGGGTGCTAGTAATCAACCCTGGGTCCTATGGAAGAGCAGTACCAATTACTCTTAAAGGCTGAACTTATTTTCTGAGGTCTTTTGTTTTGTTTTGAGACAAGAGTTTTTCTGTGTTGGTTATTCTCAGGTTGTCCAGGAACTTGCCCAGTAGACCAAGTTGGCCTTGAACTCAGAGATCCTAGTGTTGGGATTAAAGGCATGTGCAACCATATCCGGCACTTTCTGACTTATAATTTAAGGTGACTTCTTCACTTTCATAACTTAAGGTGACAGCTGTGATGCCACATAACAATAACCCAACACTCAGGAAAATGGGGTGGGAGATTTGTGAACTCAAGAGCAGCTTGACCTATACAGGGAGACCTGTCTCAAACCCCCAAACCACCCTGTCCCCCAGGTAAAATGCACAACAAAATGCATTCTTTCCTGTGTACAGTCCTGTGAGTGTGGATAGGCCCACAGGTCAGGTAGAAACCACCACAGTGCAAACACAGTTCTTTATAGCCTTACACCTCCTTCCTTCCTTTACAGCAGGACATCTTCCTGAAACACAGGCCACCATGGATGTATTTTCTGTGCTTCTCTAATTCTGCTCTGTCAACAGCCATTAAGTGGCTGTCCAAGTCTGGTTAATCTTCCTTTAACAAAGTCCCCCTGAAACAGACACTGACTGGGGGACTCAGTGCTACCTACATTCAGCAAACAGTAAGGTCTCAGAAGCATAAGCAATCTCAAGGGTTCCATATCAACAAGGCCCAGTTCAGAGGCCAGGCAGTGGTGGTGCACGCCCTTAATCCCAGGGCTCGGGAGACAGAGGTAGCAATCTCTGTGACTTTAAGGCTATCCTGGTCTACAGAGTGAGTTCCAGGACAAGCTCCAAAGCTACACAGAGAAACCCTGTCTTACAAAACCAACAAAGTAAAAGTAAAAATAAAATAGAAAACTCAATCAAGACTTGCACTTATTTCTAAATTTGAGCCAATAAAGGATTTGACATTCAATTGTTTATAAACATTTTGTAAAATTTACAACTAATAATAGAAACCATATTAAGAGAAAGATAGAGATAACAATTACCTTGACAGACCTATCACTGCCAGCCAAGCTCTCACATGCTACTTATCAAGGGCACACTAGTGGGATCAATGTCTTAGGAGAGTCACACAGCCCCCAGAAACCCAGGTGAGAGGAAAGTAATGGGAAAGATTCAGTGGTTCAAATTACCCAAAAGCTGAAACCTAGATCAATGTACTTTGTTATGTTTATTAAATAACAGATCAAAACGTTCACACCAATGCTTACTTCAGCAGCTTTTCAAAAGCATCCAAGAAGTCCTCACTTGTCATTATAGTGCAGAATATGTTCCTTCTGACATCAGTGTTCATTCTCTGCTTCCTTGCAAGTTCCAGCATCTTGGAGCTAACCTGAAAAGAAAGAGCTCAGTGTTCAGACCCTCCCATCATCCCAATGGAAGCAGTCTCCTCATAAACAGGACACTGTTCCTTAGCATAGCATTTTTCTGAACTTAAAATTTCTGAAGCATTAACATACACATTTAAGCATAATGTGACTGCAAACTCTATGTACATGTATGCATGTGAATGACATGTCTGTATTCTTAGGCAACTCCTCTGATCTGTGGATTAGATCTGTGCAGCAAATGAAGATCAAGTTCAGATATAAGCTGCTGCCAGCATCTGGGAGGCACAAGCAGCAAGTGAGACCAGGGTCCCCAGAAAGGAAAGACAAAAGGAAACTGGAGTTACAACTTGAATCCAGTAGGAACTGGAACCTACACCTGCTGGTGCCCGAGCTCCAACAACAGCCCCTCTCAAATGAACTTCATTCTCACCCCATTCTCATTCTATTCAACTTCTAGATTTTGGTTGAACTGGGTTTTGGAACTTTTTTTTTTCTCCATTTTTTGGTTTTCAAGACAGGGTTTCACTTTGTAGCCCTGGCTGTCCTGTAATCACTCTGTAGACCAAGCTGCCCTCGAACTCAGAGATCCACCAGTTTAGTGCTGAGATTAAAAGCATGCACCACCACCGCCCTGCAGGCTTTGGAACTTTTAAAAATTCTCAGGACACAGAAACTGAATTAATCATATGCCAACAGGAGCTACTTCTATGATGCCTCCTCAGGAACAACAGAGCAGACTTGTGACACAGCAGATCAGGTAGCCAACAGGGGTCTTCATACCGTTCCTGCAAGTGGCTTCTGTAGTTGTGTTTGATGACTGTTGTCGATCATTGGGGTCCCACTCCATGCAGACCCCACAATCCACCAGCGTCCAGTCTGCTCTGCATTTAAGATGCCATCCCAGGAGATTCGGAGCTGAGTCTCAGAACCAGAGCCAGCATTGCGTACCTGATGGAAAGAAAAGGCTTCATGCAGTGCTCACTGCACTTCTGTCACGCTTTGTTTGAAAATGGCAGTTTTGGTGTATGACTATGGCAATGAATCATGGACAACTGGAACGGTTAGCCTGTTTGGAAAAATGCCAGAATGAGCCATCAACTCTGTGTTGTTTGTGAAGTGTGTGAGTTCATTATCCAAATGTGTGTGACCTGAACTCTGCAACAATTACTATGTGACTAAAGACTCAGAATGATTGTGGTAACCATCCAAGGCGGAATGGCAAGACTACAGGCTGGACATCTGAGGAGCTTCCTGGTTCTAGGTGGGCTCTGGCCTTCTGAGTATCAACAGAGGATCTTATCATACAGCCTTTGCTTATAGTACCTCAGGAGGCTTACACTGGGCACTCAACAAACTTGATGATTCCTGTGCATGGAGGTTCCACAATCTCACTACAGACATACAGTTTCTGAGACTTGTGCTGAACATATTGTGACTAGTGTCACAATGGGTCAGGATGGCATGGAGGCTCAGGACGATGCAGAACAGGGTGTCACTCACCAGTGCTCTCTGTAACTTCCTTAGTTTCTCCACAGGCTCAGGGTCATAGCCAGGGATTTTACGCATGTCATTGTTCTTCAGAGCCAACATCGTCTCCAACATGAACCGTACCTTAAAGGAAAAGGAAAACCACTTGACCTCATCATTTAACAGCCACTGAGTATTCCAAGTGGCAAGAAACACCACTGATGAGAGCACTGATAACCTGGAGTCGGTCTGTGATACCTTTAACCTTTCTTTAAGTGGTAGAGTATTGGGCCGGGCGTTGGTGGCACACGCCTTTAATCCCAGCACTCAGGAGGCAGAGGCAGGCGGATCTCTGTGAGTTTGAGACCAGCCTGGACTACCAAGCGAGTTCCAGGACAGCCTCCAAAGCCACAGAGAAACCCTGTCTCGAAAAACCAAAAAAGTGGTAGAGTATTTTAAAATAGATGCATCTCACTACCCAGAGGCCTTCTCTCCTCTACTCCCAATACCCAACCCTGGGATGAGGGTAACCCTTCCTTGCAAACACTTCAAGACGCATCGAGATGTCAAGCTGACTATTCAGAGGTAATTGCCTTCCCTTCCAGCCTCAGATCTCCTCCTGTATGTCCTACAGAGTGACCCTGAACTCCCATCCCATGTCCCTGCTCCTCTAAAAGTCACCCACTTCAGACTCCCAAGCCTATACCCACCGTCACCACTTACACATGCTACTTTTGTTTAAAGATCCCTGAAGCCTTTCCTCTGCTCTGGCCCCATCTTTTCTACACTGGGGTCAAAGTGCTCTTCAGCACAACATTCTCCTTCCTCCTTGAGGACTTCTCAGATTCTGTCCTAACCCCTCAAAAGTGGTCAGAGCTGTGAGCCCATTGTAAAGAGGAAACTGGCTGACAAGACTAAGCCTCTGCTGCTCAGAAATAGTGTCACACATCTGACCCAGGCTGACACCCAAGCCTGGGAAACAGCTTCTGAGAGGGCAAACAAATCACTTATAATCATAAAATATGTATGGTTCTTAATGAAGAAACAAGTTTCAAGTAGAGTACGGTGGTACACACCCATAACCCCAGCACTCAGAAGAGGATCAAGAGCTTGAGGCCAGCCTGGGCTACATAGTGAGACTCCATCTCAAAAACTCAAGGAAACAAAAGCAAATTCCTCAGAACCAAGGTCAGTTTGCTGACTGAAGACAAAGCCACGGTAAGTACCAATAAGGCAGAAGAGAACAGAGAGTGCTAGGGCATGAACAAGTGTTTGGCCAGATACTCTTTTGTGCTCCGTCACTCTATGTCCCTCTAGGGCACTTAGCAGGTCAAGTGGCACTCCTACCCTGTTCTGGTCCTGAAACTTGCTGCCTGCCCCATTGGCCTTGGCCTGGGCATCTGTGATCAGCTGCTTAAGTGACAGGGCGTCATCTTTTCTCAATGCAAAGCCCACATTTTTCAGCATCAGCAGGATCAGCTCAATGTCTTTTTCCGTAAAAGTTCCAACAAGCTTCTTCAGAATGTCAAAGACGAGGAGAGACTGTACCACGTGGAAGTTGTACAAATGGGCAATCATGGTAAACAGGTTGTCCAGCTCTTTCCCCTCACCTCCATCCTTATAGACATCGTCAAACTTCTTCACCACGGCCTCAAGGAAGCAAGCACCAACCTGAAGGAGATGGAAGAAATGCCACCATGTCATTCTGGGACCCTGCCTGTCATATGCACAAATACCTGTAAAGTACAACACGGATACAGGTGGGTAAGAATTCTAGCAGAGGAGTTGGTAGCTAAGGATGCAGACTTTAGTAACTCAGGCTTCACATACTGATGAGAAGATTCCACATAGCAGACATGGTACTGAGTGCTTGCCTTATATTCTGTAAAAATACTCTCATTTCTTTAGAATCAACAACAAAGTGGCTCCCTAGAAAAGTTTCTTTAAAAAAGGTAATGGCAAGATGGCTCCGCATAAAGGAGTTTGCTTCCCACCTGATGATCAGAGCCTGACGTCAGAGTCTACTTAAAGGTGATAACCAGGAGACAGCACCAGGCCAAGAACTAGCAGATGCCTGATGAAGCTGGGCAAGGTCACTATGGCACTGTCCTTTTGCTGTTCTGGAACGTTCTATTTACAATTTCTAAGTATATGCTGGGGAGGAAGAAGGCCAGGAACGGAGGCAGTGAACCTGAAGGTGGAAACCGCAGAGACCCTCCTGCTAGGAGCATCGTCTTGCGACCACTTTCTCCAGCAGGACATCCCGCTGGGAGATGAGTGAGGCAGCGGGGATACATGGGAAAGAAAGGGCTGCTCATAAAGTAACCAGACTAGCAGGGCAGGCATTGCTGGGTATAATTCCCAGCATTTGGTCTGATCTCCAGGAACTAGACAGGATTAAGTAGGCTGTGGAATGCTGGTCAAAATATGGTTCAAGAGCCAGGCGTTGGTGGCGCACGCCTTTAATCCCAGCAGTCAGAAGGCTGAGGCAGGCAGATCTCTGTGAGTTCCAGGCCAGCCTGGTCTACACAGCAAGTTCCAGGACAGCCTCCAAAACAATACCGAGAAACCCTGTCTGGAAAAACCAAAAAAAAAAAAAAAAAAAAAAAAAGTTCAATGTCAGTTGGACCTGTGCATATTTATGCTAAAATTCATGTAAGGTAAGACAGGTAGATGTACAAGGGTAACTGAGATCCATATATAACTCAGAGTGTAATGGGCAAGTACACACAGCATTGCTAGACTGCAAAACAATGGAGCTAGGAAGACGGGCAATACTGGTTTCTGGAGGCCAAAACTAAAGGCCAGAGGCTTGATTCCCAGTTCAGGTTTTCTCACTGAAGAAAAACCTAAGAACACCCTCTCGAAGCAGTAACACCTTATGCTCATGAAGAATGCTAACAGTCAGGATGCTTCAGAGAACAAGAAACACTGAGACACTAATTCAGGTGTGTTTTCAGTACACAAATAGGTTCAATTACATAAAAGGCTAAAATATTAATTCTATTAATGTTTGTAAAATTAAACATACTAGTATAACCTAAAAATAGGGGGAAAACCCTCAATTCCAATTATGTGAATGTTAGCAGATCTGCAAAGGCATGAATGTTAAGTGATTGAGAGAAGGCACACAGTAGCTGCATGGTCAATTTCTGTTTCTTTCCATGAGTTCCTGGGAGGTCTTTCTCAGCACAGTTTAATGGGAACCAGCATCCTGAGAACATAGCATATCTGGCACAAGCTTTAGTGGATGCCATTAGCTAAAGTACTATAATGGCTTCCCTTGAACAAGTCATCTCATTGTCCTTCACGCTATTAGCAAAGGTTTTAAATGGGAAGTAGGACCAATAATTTCAGGTTTTCAAACCAAGTAAATTCCTGATGTGCTGTGGTGGTCACATCTATGACTTTTAAAATAACTCACTGAAATGCTGTCTGCACTCAAATCACTTTGATTAAGTCTGCTGAACTGTTCCAGTGTGGTATAGGATGGGGGAGGCACCACAGAAGCCAGAGAACAGTGTCAATTACTGTGATTATGGGGCACCAGGAAAGCTGTCCAGGGCGTCCATTACACTTTGTAATGGCAAGAAAATGGACTCAGGCATTCATATGTGAAATAAGCATAGCCCTTGGGGTGTGGGGACACTACAGAAGCACAGTTCCTGAGACAGCCAGTGTAGATTTGCACAGCAGGGCTTTTGAGGTGGTTTCACCACTCTCTCCTCTGCCCTGAGCTTCCCAACACCTTTGCTTCTCAAACTCCTGACTCCATGCTGGGTTACTATTCCAGATGGCATAGTCAGGGTATGGAGAAAAGGCACAGATGTACCTCTATTCCAACTGTGTGGTGAAGGATGCTGACTAAGAGGACATGCTCCATCATCAGTCTGCTGGGCATGGCTGAGGTGGTGACACAGGCATCCATGAGGGCGGCGGTCAGGGTGTCGTTCATGTGCTTCCTGCTGTGGGCCATGTACAGCTCCTCCAGCTGCCCACTTATAGACGCCATGTTTGGCTCGCTCAACCTGCAGTGGAGTATGAGCAAAGTATTACTGATACATAATGTTTTATGCATATTTCTGACCCAGAAACCACCCTGACTTAGCCACAAAAACTTGGTGCATACTGCTCATAACACATTCTAGAATTCTTAAATAATAATGTAACTGTCTTTTAGCGGAGCATAGCCACTGAAGCATACCCTAGGATCTTCTCTAACTCTGTACATATGCCCACAGGTAGCCTGACATAGTATCTCCCAGAGGCAGTGATCACTCCTGGGTGGTGAGTTAAACAAAAGTGAACTTATTTATGTCTTATGTGACACAAACACACTCTGGTCCTATATATACACTGTGTAGCTGTGCTTAATACTGAACCTGCTGTCAAAACAACAGGTAATGATGGAATTACAGGATACTAGGGAAATAGCATGAGGTTTAATGAAAAAGAAATAAAAGCACAGAGGGAAGAGGAGATGTGACAAGGGCTGGCATGAGAGCCTTTTGTGATAGGATAGTCATGCATCTTGATATTGGAGGCCGTCACCCAAATTTTCATGCAACAAAATTCTATAGAATCAGTCTCAATCTCTCTCTTGTAAAAATGATAAGACCTGAAAAAACTGTCTCTAGCTGGGTACACCTTTAATCCTAGCACTCGGGAGGTAGAGACAGGCGGATCTCTGTGAGTTCGAGGCCAGCCTGGACTACAGAGCAAGTTCAAGGACAGGATCCAAAGCAACACAGAGAAACCCTGCCTCGAGGGGGTAAAAAAAACTGTTGGAGCTGTGTCAGTTTCATTTGAGACAGGGTTTCATGTATCCAAAACTGTATCAAACTTCCTATGTAGTCAAGGCTGATTTTGAACTTCTGACCCTCCTACATGTACCTCCAGAGTCCTGGGTTTGCAGACATTCCAGGCATGCTTCACTATGCTCCGTTTATGTGGTCTGGCAAGCGAGGGCAGCAGGCTTTGTGCTTGTTAGATGAGTACTCTACCAACTTAGCCCCACCCCCAGCCCTCTGTGTTTTGTCTTTAACTGCAGTACAGGCTGGAGTGATCCTTCTAAGGACTTCCTTACACTGGTTTTTAACCCCCATGATCTATAAGGACGAGCTGTTTGTTTTTCCTGAGTGGCCCTGGCTGTCCTGGAACTCACTCTGTAGACCAGGCTGTGCTCAAACTCAGATATCTGCTGCCTCTGCCACTTAAGTGAGTGAGGGACATGAAAGAAAGGGGGAAGGGCTTCAGTAAGCGATTCCAGTCATTTGTGGGACCTAGACAGTCAGCAGGGAAGGGACGTCACAAATTCCCATCGCATGGCTTCCAATGAACCTTCTGGTTGTTTAAAGAATTACTTTTTTAAGAATGAGTGTTCTGTCTGTATGTACAACTTTATGACAGAAGAGGGCATCAGATCTCACTATAGATGGTTGTGAGTCACCAAGTGGTTGCTGGGAATTGAACTCCGGACCTCTGGAAGAGCGGCCAGTGCTCTTAACCTCTGAGCCATCTCTCCAGTTACCTTCTGATGTTTTATCTTAAAATGGACAATAACAAAGGAAGACACAAATGGTGACTGAAGACCCTGTTCAGCACCAGATAATTCACTTTTGCAGGGAAGGGTGACTTTAGCTGCGCCATTCCTGGGATGACACAGAACTCTGCCCTGTTCCTTTCTGCTTCCCAGAATAACCCGTAGCAGAGCTTCAAGCATGGAAAGGGCATTATCAAACAGCTGAGCACCCTACCTCTATTAAGGTTAGATCCAGTTATTTCACACCAAGAACAAGGATCCAGAACATTGTCTAGTGCTAACCCACCATTTGCTTTTTAGATGGCCTCTATAGTTCCGTGATGGTGTGTCGTAATTCTGTAAGGTTACCTGTTAATCAGGCCTTTGACGTGTTTCTTGAGCCTTTCCAGTTCTTCTTTCTTGTGGGCATCCATTGTCTCCTCGCCCCTCGACCGAGGTGGGATGTACTTCTCACCACTTTCAGCACAGTCATGCTCCTTGAAGATAGGAATAAAACGGCAAACACTTTAGAGTGGACAAATTTAGTGTTTTTCCTCGTTATTTATTCTTAATACTCCAACCGCCGAGGATTTGGAGCAGCCATCATTACAGGCCACCGTCTTTTAACTAAGTGAAGCTCTACTGAGCGAATGCTGGTATGGCCTGGGTCAGCCTTTCCCTCAGCAGGCTGCGGCTGCCACTGTGTGTCACTGCCAATACTGTTCTGGACCCGGTTCCCTCGCCCCGTATGGAATGACAGCCCAGAGGTCCTACCGGTTGTTGGTGTCATACCTGATGCCCTGTGTCATCTTCCGAAGAACTTTCGCTCTTTTCTACGGCCTCTGCAAAACGGACTCTCTTATTCCCTTTACTTCCTAGTGTGTTCACACGTCCTGCTTCTTTCTCGGTCTGCAGGCTCACGTCCTCCTGATCCCCCTGCTGCGCCGTCGAGTCTGAGTCCTCCTCACTTTCCTCGGAACTGTTCTCTAGGTCACTCTCCAAGAGCGTCTGTGCAGGCTCCCCCTTTTCCTCCCCCTCCTCCTCCCCCTCGCTGCTTTCGTACAGGCCGCCGCCTCGCCCACATTCCAGGGCTCCTAGAATGTAATCCAGGCCGTCGCGCGCGAAGCTGAGCGGCACCGAGCTGCCGTCGCCCTTCTTCTTGCGCTTGTTCAGGCCGAGGCACCGCTCCAGCTTCCGGATCTCTCGGTCCTCCTCCTCGTTGGCCGCTAGAAGTGCCCGCTTCCGGGCGGCGGCGGCGGCGGCGGGGACGGGTTTCCCGGGAGTACCTTTAGCCTTGGCCTTAGCCTGGGTCGCCGTGGCCGGGGAAGAGGACGCCTTGGCCTCAGCCTGGGTCGCCGTGGCCTTCACGCTAGCGGAGGGCGCCTTGGCCTTGGCGGGGTTCGCTGTGGCGGGGGTCGGTCGCGCCTCCGAGGGCGCTGGAGCTTTCCCGACGCCAGTAAGGGCGCCACTACCCTCCCGGTCCCCGGTCCCGGAGCCCACCGTCCTCTGCAGGCGCCGCGCTTTCCTCAGGTGTCGCTTCTCCTTACGGAGCTCCTTGCGGCTCTTTCGCCCGCCGGGCCGGGAACGGGCCGCAGCGCCGCGGCCCTCGCCGCCCTCGCTCTCGGAGGTAGCCCGCACGAAGTCCTCCACGGCCAGCCGCAGCCGCTTCAGGGCCCCCTCCCCGCCACCAGGACCGCGGCCGCCGCCGCGACGCTTCGGGCGAGCCATGCGCCGGTGCGCTCCACCGCGGCCCGCAGCGACCATGCCTGCAGACGCGGCTAACTTCCGGGGTGCCCAGCGGCATGACTTCCGCTAGGGGCGGAACTTCCGGGCGAGCCCTGCTGTGAGAAGAAAACGTTGGGATGGGAGGACGGTGCCCTCTGTTGGTCGGAGGGCGGCAGTCACAGGCACTAACAGAGTCTTTGGAAAAGTGAAGCTTCGGAAGCAGAAGCAGGCGCATCTTTCTTAATCAGTGGCTGATGGAGAGGGCAGGCAAGCCCATTGTAGGTGATGCCATCCCCCGGCTGGTGGTCCTGGGGCTCTATAAGAGAGCAGGCTGAGCAAGCCGGTAAGCAGCACCCCCGTGGCCTCTGCATCAGCTCCTGTCTCCAGGTTCCAGCACTGCTTGAGCTCCTGTCCTGACTGTCTTCAGTGATGGGCTACAATGTGGAAGTGTAAACCACATAAACCCTTTCCTCCCCAGCTTGCTTTTGGTCACGGTGTTTCATCGCAGTAATAATAACCCTAACCAGGACAAGGGGTGTGGGGCCCCTGTCTGAAGAAACTGGGTGGTGGCCGTGTCCAGAGGAGTTCGATGGAGGTGGGTGTGATGCAGGAGGATACAGGGTCTGTTTGGAGAAGTTAGATGGAGCACATTCCTGGGATGGGGCCCGCATCGATGGATGCTCTGGTTCCTCCAGTGTGGTGTGACTTGGAATTTATTCAATGTCCTCACATCAGGAAGCGTCACTTTAGCATTTCTCTAACCTTATGGGGGTCTAGTTAGCTATGTGGTGCGTCCTTGTTTTATTAGAGGAGGGGGATAGAAGGTTTGTTTGGAGGAGGCTGTAAAGAATGTTTGGAGGAAGATGGAGGGAGGGTCCATCTTGAGGACATTGTAGGGAGTGACGGAGGAGGCTGGAGCCTTCTTCTGAATAAGCCGGATGCAGGCCAGTTTTCCAAGAGGTTTTCCTAATGTGGCACGTGGATTTTCACAGTGTGTTGGTGCAGATGTGGGTGAGCTCTGTATCGGGGAACAGTGAGGGTCACTTTGCTGGAGTGGAGGAGGCAGGCACTGGGTAGGAAGGAGGCCTCCCTCGGTCACTCCCCTATTTCGGCTCTTCAGTAGCTCTGTCTTTAGTCTACAGAGTCAAGTGTGAAGTAGGATTGGAGTGAAAGATGAGTTCCTCGCAGCCTGAAGCCCCAGCCTGTGGTAAGCAGGGCATGACCAACTTCTGCTTGCCCAGCTTTAGTCTTCCAGCTTGTCCAGGTAGTGCCCCACCTCACGCTCACACGTGTGGGAGGTGCCACTAGCAGGAACTGTGGTTATTTGTCTCCTTGTCACAGTCTGCAGAGAGGAAAGCTCAGGTTCAGTCTTGCTTTGCTTTTCCAGAACAGCTCTCTTCGCTCCTGGAACACAAGAACCATTCAGGCATTTGCTGGTCGAATGAATACGGCAAGGAAAGAGAAAGATGGAGTGGAAGAAAAGGAAGTGTACAGGTCAGTTTTGTGTCAACTAGACACGAGGTAGAGCCGTCAGAGAGGAGAGAGCCTCAATTGAGAAAATATCTCCGGATCTGGCTGAAAGGCGATTTCTTAATTAGTGACTGATGTGGGCGGGCCCAGACCATTGTGAATGGAGCCACCCCTGTGCTGGTAATCCTGGGGTCTGTAAGAAAGCAGGCTGAACAAGTCATGAGGAGCAAGCCAGTGCTCCTCCATGGCCTCTGCATCAGCTCCTGCTTCCAGGGTCCTGCCTTACATGAGTTCCTTCCCTCAGGACTTTTAATGATATGGAACCAAGAGAGAAATAACACAGCTACCCCACCCCGTCCCCACAATTTGGTTTTGGTCATGGTGTTTCATCACAGCAATAGCAACCACAACTAAGACACAAAGGGAAGGGAGGGAGAGGAAGGAGAAAGGAAAGATGGAAAGGACTTTCCATACTCTTTGGGACTTTCTGGCAGTGGGTGGGTGGTGATGAGGTCCTAACTTCTGTCTTTTCCTCTCAGAATTAATTGTGGAATGGCTCAACTGAAAGCCTAGGGGTTCAATTTTCCCTCATGAGCTGTGGCCAGCACTTGCTTGCATAGTGTGCTTACATTGGCCTTAAAGAGGGACATTGCTGGCCCTGTGGCGGAACTTTGGTGTTCTCACCAAGTTTTTCCACAGGGGACTGAGCTGTTGTTTATTAAGAGTTAGCTGTAGGCTGCTCATCCTTTGACACACTCATCCATTCATCAGATGAGTAAGGAGTTGTCCTGGACCAGTGGCCTTGCTGACATCTCTCACATAGTGAATATGAGGAAAAACAGCTGGAGTTATATGTGGTAGTTTTTAGTAGCTTTAGTTTACAAGCCAACTGTTTATCACATTAGGACATGGATCCATAAATAAATTTGAAAGCGGTGATACATCTGGGTCTTCGAAGACCTCAACTTGAGTCAGTGACTTGTAAATATATTTGTTTGTGTCACTGATCCCTTTATTATTAATTCGGTGGCTTCCGTTGTAGTTATCAATCTCACCCAATTACCAAGGTCCTTGAGAAACCTTTGTTCCCAGTGCAGTCCCCGTGGACTGGTCCTTACTCGTCTGGGCAGCATAAGGTTGCCTCTGATTCTGTGGGATTTCAGATGCAGAGCCCGTTCCTGTTAGTGCCTTAATTTTTCCTTTACTGTCCCTCTATTTTGATTATGTTTTTATATTATCAAGCACACAGCTTCCTAAACTGTGGGTCACAAGTCGATACTTGAGCACATAACCAAACACAGGAGTCGTGAAACATTTGGCAACTCTGAAAGGCTTCTGAATGTGTAACAACCAAACACAAACTTAAAACTAAGTGCTCCCTGAAGCCAGGGTTTCTTGCCTCATTTACCTGTGTTGTATCATGTGACTTCACCGCAGTCCTGGGTTGCAGTCCTAGTTCTGTTTTGTTTTGTGAGACAGGGTTACTGTGTAGTCCTGGCTGGTCTGGACCGTGCTTTGTAGACTAAGCTAGACTTCAGCTCATATAGAGATCTTCCTTACCCTGCATCCTGAGTGTTAGGATTGATTACAGGGATGAGCCGCCACACAACACCACTTGTAGCCTTCAACATGTAACAGACACACTTTGCATTACACATGCCATCATGCCAAAAAATACCAATAAACACTGGAACACGTTATAAAATCCAGTGTTTTTACTACCCATGCAAAGTTTTCTGCTCTTAAAGAATTAACAGTCTAACTACAGAAAAAGAGGACTTAATGTTTTCCTGCCATTATCCCCCACATAAGAATCAAATGTGTATATCTTTGAATTGTGCTAGAATGCTTGGTTTTAAAAATTGCTGTTCAGTGAGGCTGGAGAGATGGCTCAGTGGTTAAAAGCACTTTCTGCCCATGCAGAGGACTCAGGTTGCCAAGGACCAGAGTTCAGTTCCCAACACCCATACTAGGTGGCTCACAAGCATCTGTAACTCCAGTTCCAGGGGTTCTGATACCAGCTTCTGGTCTCTTCTGACACCAGCATAACACAACACCCACACATATGCATAAGTACAAATAAAATAAATGTTTAGAATGTGAAAGGAAAGACGGATACTCTACAGTAGTAAAGGAAGAATCAGGAAAAGATTTTAATTACTGTGTTAGTCTCTGTCCTATTGCTGCCATAAAATACTCTAGCAAAAGCAACTTGAGAAAAGGGTTCATTTTGACTTAAAGTTCAAGGAAGAGATGGTTGCAGGAGTGTGAGGCTGGTCTCACCGCATCCACAGGAAGATGCAGAGAGAAGTGTTGGTGCTCAGTTTACAGTGTCTGTTTTCTGTAACCCAGGACCACAGTCCTGGAGAATGGCGCCACCCACATTTAGTTTTCCCACTTCAGTTATCTTTACCTAGATGGTCTCTAACAGACCTGCCCAGAGATTTATGCCTCAGGTGATTCTAGATCCTGTTAATTTGACAGTATAAAGCCTCAGAGTTGAGCCGGGCGTTGGTGGCGCACGCCTTTAATCCCAGCACTCGGGAGCAGAGGCAGGCAGATCTCTGTGAGTTCGAGACCAGCCTGGTCTACAGAGCGATTTCCAGGACAGCCTCCAAAGCCACAGAGAAACCCTGTCTCGAAAAAAAGAAAAAGAAAAAGAAAAAAAAGCCTCAGAGTTGATTATTTGAGTTTCACAAAGTCACACAAGAGGGCTGGAAAATGGCTCAGTGGTTAAGAGCATTTGTTCTTCTAGAGACCTGGGTTCAATTCCCAGCTCCCGCACAGTGGCTCACAACTGTCTGTAACTCTAGACCCAAGGGATCTGAAGACTTCTGACATTCAAGGGCATCAGGCATGCACACACACACTTATAGGCAAAACACTCATTCATACATATGAAATAATAAATGGACCTAAATTTAAAAGATCGTGCAATAAATTTTAGCTTGGGATTAGGACAGAATTTCCAACAATTTCTGAACTAGCACTGGACATACTTCTGCTATTTTGTATATGTAATATCGGTATGCATATGTTGCGGGATTCCTGCCTGGGATCCATTGCCATTTAGCCCCCAAATAACACACAGGACACTATATTAATTATGAAGCTGTTGGCCGCTTGCTTGTTTCTTACTGGCTATCTCTGACCTAAGCATTTAATCCATAATTGTTAATCTAAGTATTTCTCTTACTGGAGAAAAGCATCTAGACCTCTTACTCTGGACACCTACATGGTGTCTCTCTGTGTCTCTCTTTCCCAGAATCCTCCTCGACTCCTAGTCCCACCTATCTTGCTTCCCTATTGGTCAACAGTGCTTTATTCAAACCAATCAGACACATATTTACAGAATGACATCTCCCAACATGCACACAAAGTGTTTTGATTACATTTGCCCTCCCCCACTCAGTTCTCACTGGCCTCTTACTTCCTATAGCTTCCCCTCCCACTTCCATGCCTTGGGCTGTGGGCCACCTTGTCCCAACAATATTTAGCATATAAAGAAATTGTGTAGAATTTAACTCTCCGTGTCAATCTTAAAAACAGAAAATACTAGGGCTTGGGAGATGGCTCACTCGGTAAAGTGCTTGCCACACAGGCCCCGGGGAACTAATGTGACCTTCCACAACCACACGGAAAATGTTGGCCCCAGAAGGATGCGCTGTAATCCCAGCACCGGCGAGATAGAGCTCTACCGCTAGCCAGCATAGCCAAATGAAGTGAGTTCTAGGTTCAGTTATAATTTACTCAAAATCTAAGTCAGAAAAAAAAAAACAGATTAAGAGAAAAAAAAGGGAAGAAATGAACTTGGGACAGGTGATGGGGCCTGGGAGGGACTGGAAGGAGTGAGTGGGTTGGATGAGATCAAAATACATTGTACGCATGTATTAAATTCTCAAAGAATAAATAAAAAGTAAAGCATTAAGACAACAGTGAAAATAAGATGGAGAGGGTCAATGAAACTGTTCAGCAGTTACTGCTAAGTCTGCTTACCTAGGTTTTCTGTCTCTGGGACCCACAGGTAGAAGGAAAGACCAGTTCTTATAGCTGTCCTCTGACCTCCGTGTGGCACCATGGCACATGCATGCCCCATCTCCACAAACAAATAAATGCCAGGAAATTTGTAAAGAGTAATAAGGTTGGGGCTGGAGAGATGGCTCAGTGGTGAAGAACTCAGGATGCTCTTCTTGAAGAGTCTGTTTGATTCCAGCACCCACATGACGGCTCACAACTGGCTGTAACTCCGTTCCCAGGGGACTCGGTGGCCCCATTTGGCCTCCACAGGCACTGGACAAACATAGATGCAGGCAAAACACACACATCAAATACAAATAAAGGAAAATATTTTTTAACAAGTGGAAACAATTGAGGAAGACATGGGACATTGACTTCTGGACTACACAGGTATACACACACACACACACATGTACACACATGCTAACATAGACACACAAGAATAGCAAATGCATATTGTGTGTTTACCATGAGCCAAGCATGATCCCAACTTCGTGTGTGTGTGTGTGTGTGTGTGTGTGTGTGTGTGTGAGAGAGAGAGAGAGAGAGAGAGAGAGAGAGAGAGAGAGAGAGAGAGAGAGAGAGAGAGAGAGAAGTTATCTGAGATGAAAGAACCTCAATTTAGGACTTGCCTCCATCACACTGGCATTTTCTTGATTGCTGTGGGAACACCCAGCCCACTATGGGCAGCACCATCTCCAGGCAGACGGTTGGTTCTGAGTTCTGTAAGAAACAAGCTGAGCAGGCGGTGAGGAGCAAGCCCGTAACCAGTGTCCCTCCATGGCTTCTGCTTCAACTCTTGCCCTGAGTTCTTGTCTGGAATTCCCTCCATGATGGACCATGAACTAAAAGCTGAAACAAACCTTTCATCCCCAAATTACTTTTGGTCAGTATTTAACACAGCAATAGAAAGCTAATTAGGACACAAATTGTGGGCTCAGATTTTAACCCTTACAGTCCTGGAGGAAAAGTCTTCAGCATTTTTGGTCCTAGGGGGCCGCCTACTGGTGGCCTTCAGAAGTCCATCCTGTAAAACAAGGCGAGTCACTCATTATGCTAGACTTTTCCCTCCCTCCCGCCCTCTGTTCCTTTCTTTCCTTTTTTCTTTCTTTCTTTCCTTTCTTTTTCTTTGTTATTTATTCTTTGTGTCTTTCACATCTGAATCCCCATCCCACTCATCTCCCATCCACTTGCATCCGCCCTCTGCCTCTGCAACCTCCTCCCCAAAAAAAGTTTAAGATGAGAAAGGAGGGGAAAGGGAAGAAAGGGGAAATGTCGTTATGGAAGCTGCACCGTGACACAGTGAGTCATGCAGTAAACCCTCTGTGCTAGCCTGCATCTTGAGATCAGGTGTTCATTGCAAACAGTCATTGGTTTGGTTCAAGGCCCCTGGCCTCTGCCATACTATCAGCACTGAACCCTCACTGGGACTCTAATCGGATGTCCTCTTGCTGCCCTGTGTCGTAGAGGTCCTGTAGCCCTGGGTCCACAGGACAGCCCCGCCCCCAGTCCCCCAGGCTCCAGCAGATCACAGATGCAGTGGATGGTGGGGTGGGCCAACACTTAACCCTGGTTGTGGGCCTGGGTAGTTGCAGGGTTGGTCAGCTGCCACCTCTCCCCTGTCTCCACCACTGGGGTGTGTAACACGAATAATAAAAACCCAGAGATAGGTACCGGGGTTCAAGCTTCAAGCTGAAGATCAGAAAAAGCAAATCAGCCGGTCAGCTGCAACCCTAGACTGCTGGCTCTCCTCAGCGAGTTTGGAGAATAAATATCCACACGAGACCCCTAGGTTCTTTCTCTTATACCTCCCCAGTGCTGATCCCAAGTGCCTTTGTGTGAGCTCTTTCTCTTTAGAACTGGATCAATTTAATGTAGCTCAGTGTGACCTGGAACTCAGAGAGATCCGTCTGCCTGTCTTCTGAGTCCTGGGACCAAGGGTGTGTGCCTGGCTCTATGGCTAGTCAGTATGGCTGCTGGGATTAGAGGTATGTATCACCATTGCCTGCCATCTATGGCTTGTGACTGGCTTTGCTTCCTGAACCCTCAGGCAAGCTTTAATAAACCATAAATAATGTATCAGCACAGGGTGAGTTCTCCAGCATTGCCCTGGCTAGTTTACCCTTTGCAGGGATGAGCAAAGGGGTGGGGCCAGTTCTTCCACACCTGTACCTTAAGGGCCAGTTCTACCGTATTGGCAGTCGAGGACTGCACTACTCATCAATGAGTCATCCCCCAAACAATTGCATTCTGTTAGATAGTATATTTAATCGCCGAGTTATAGGCCTGCATCTGTGGTTGGCAAGTGCTCACTGGAGCTTCACAGAGCAGCTGGCTATCCTTCCGGGACGTTCCAGCCCGTTTGACCCATGTCTGGTGTACAAAGCCCCAGCCAGAAACTATGTATTGGTGGACTTCTACAAGGCTTAATGTACTTTTTGCCTTTTTCATAATGTCACCAAGAAAGGCAGAGTGGTGATGGCTTTCTGACATCAAATTCAGCATTGAAATGTTGACTCTTTTTACACATCCCAGGCACCTAAAAGTTTCAGCATCTTATCCAATCTGGTCATGTGACCTCCAAAATGAGAGGAGCAGGAGGTTCCCTCAGCTGAGGACATAGAATTGTCCCAGGAGCCTAGGAAGCCATGAAACCTCTGGCCAGCTGGCATCAGGAGCAGCACAAGCGTGAGCTCAGCTAAGGTTAGAAAGCTATTTTATCAGGCTGACTGTGACACCTGAATGGAGACACAGCTATCCCCCTGTCTCTGCAGAGAGCAGACGTCAGGACCCGCAGGAATTCCAACATGTACAGAGCTGCTGTGATGCAGGGTTTGCATTTACCTGCACATCATCTCTCAGACGCTTTAAATTGCTGCCAGATTGCTAAGAACACAGCAGTACACAGTGCAGATCCATGCTGGATTGTATTGTCAGGAGAGCGGTGGTAATTACACATGCCCGTGTGTTAAAACTAATACAGTTGTTATCCTAGTGACACACACCTGTAGTCCTAGAACTTGGGAGACAGATGCAGGAACATTACCGTGAGTTCAAGGCTGGCCTGGGTTCCATAGTGAGATTTTGTTTCAAAGATCCTAACATTTCATACAACTTGTTGAGGCAGGAGAGCGGGCTCAGTAGTTACTGCATTCACAGCTCTTGCGGAGGACCTACATGGTGGCTTGAAGTCATCTGTAACCCCAGTTCCAGTGGATCTGATGCCCTCTTCTGACTTCACAATCACGTATACACAAAATAAAAATAAACAAATCATTTAAAATCTCATTTTGACTAAATGGAACTTAAAAACTTTTCAAAGGTACAGATAGAATTGCTAAAATGATAAAAAATTTAAAAATAGCAACTATGATCAAGTTAGAATTTATGCCTATGGGCTTGACATGATGGCACATGCCTTTAGTCCCAGCACTCTGGAGGCTGAATCTCTTGAGTTTGAGGCTAGTGTGGCCTACTTAGAGAGTTTCAAGCCATCAGAGCTACATAGTAAGATTCTGTCTAAAAAAATGTTGCCTTTGACCCCTGCCTTGTCAGGTAGAATTTGTCTCTCTTGATGGCTTCACTCTGCTCTCTTCTTGATTCTGCCATCATCACAACATGGCCATCTTGTTTTCAGCAACCACACGTGCATCCCTTGTGGGGCCATGATGGGATCTACTATCCACTTTATTTTATCTATTTATTTATTCATTATTTTTTTCGTTTTTCAAGACAGGATTTCTCTGCATTGTTTTGGAGGCTGTTCTGGAACTCCCTCTGTAGACCAGGCTGACCTCAAACTCACAGAGATCCCCCTGCCTCTGCCTCCTGAGTGCTGGGATTAAAGGCGTGTGCCACCAACGCCCGACTACTATCCACTTTATAAGTTGGCTCTAAAACTAAAAATCAGCATTTACATTATTGTGACTTTAACATTATTCTTTTTGCTTCTAGGAAGACAGATTAGTTATTTCCTTATTTCTCCTGCTAAAGACAACTAAATTCACTGTGCAGGAAATACAAAACAATCATAGGAAAATATGGATGGCGGTGTAAAGAAGAGAGATCCAGAAGAGATGCTGGAGCCCAAGGGCACTATGGGCTGAATTTCCTGGGTTTTCTTTCTGTCTGTGTGTTTCATTCAGAGTTGGAACTAAAGAAGGTAGGAACCCAGAAACTCCGGTCTGCACAGGCAAAAAGAGCTGCCTTCTCTAGTCAAAGATCCAGGAAAGGGGATGCATTCAAGTCAGAAAGCTTTTTTTTATTTTATTTTTGAGACAAGGTCTCACCTTGAAGCACTGGCTGTCCTGGAACTCAGTATGCAGACCAGTCTGTCCTTGAACTCACAGAGATCTGCCCGCCTCTGTCTCTTGAGTGCTGGGATTAAAGGCATGTGTCACCATGTCCAGCACTGCCGTGAGCTTGTAGATGAAGACTGCTCCATTCGAGACAAGCTCCACAGAAAAGCAAGCCCCTCAGTGTCAGTGAAGACTAGAGGAGGCCACATCCACCCTGTGAGGCCACCAGAAGCTGCCCAGTGTCTGTGCTGCAGAGTGCCAAAGGAGACAGACCATGTAGAAAGCTTCTCTGTCTGGCAGAGATGTTAAAATGTCCAACAAAAAATGCCTCGACTAGTGAAATAAAAATCCCAGAAAATAAATGTAAAATACAAAGATGAACCAAGAGGAAGTTTCAGAACTGAAATAAAAGAAATGATGCAAAGGAAAAGTTGAGTGGGTGAGCTCACCTTCAGGGTGAAGGGGACGGAGGCAGAAGCTATGAACTGAAGAGAGTGGAGATGACAGAGAAAGTGGACAGGGGCTGGGAAAACAGCTGCAGGAAACATAAGATCTGATGATCGCATCCCTGGAGCTCCAAAGGAGACAGGAAGAGGCTGGAGCAACCAGGAGCAAAGCTACACTAAGAAATAGACACAAGTGCTCTCTTCAGTAGCACATGTACTAAAACTGCAATGATGCAGAGATTAACATGGCCCCTGTGCAGAGATGACATGCAAATTCATGTGGCATTCCATATTTTTAAGGAAAAAAGAAATAGACACAGGATACTATGGAAAGATCATAAGGGGGATTTCCTATTCTTTATTTATTGCATGTATGTATGTATGTATGTATGTATGTATGTATGTATGTATGTATTGGGGGTGGCTTGTGCAGTGGTGAACTTATGGAGGTCAGAGGACAACCTATGGGAGTAAGTTCTTTCCTTTCACCACAAGAGTCTTAGCGACTGAGTTCAAGTCATCAGACTTGGCTGCAGGCATGTTTACCCTTTGACATATTTGAACAGCCCTAACAGAGGGATTCTAAAACACCTTCAGAGTAGGTTTCAGAGCAAAGAAGTTAGAGAGGAACATTACATAGAAATATTATTAAAGCATGATCAGAGACAGAGGAATATCCTATAGCAATATTATAGGAACATTATCAGAGAAAGAGGGATATTCTATAGTAATATTATAGAAACATTACCAGAGACAGAAGAACATTACATAGTAATATTATTGAAACATTATCAAAGACAGAGTAATATTATGGAAAAATTATCAGAGATGGGAATATTATATAGTGATATTATAGAAACATTATCAGAAACAGGGAGGAACATTCTATAGTAATATTACAGAAACAGAAACCCCAGCAATCCTAATCATGTACACTGTTGTATAGCTGTTATGCATTGAAACATTTCTTCCTGGGGAGAGGAGGCTACCCCATGCTGTAGCCACGCAGTGGAGAGGAACTATCAGCACAGGACAAGGGGCCAGGCCAGGCTCTATTCCTCTCAGTCCTGTGCACAGAGTCAGTGCTCAGTGTTTCTGATGAGAACACAGGGTTGGGAGTGTCTAGTTCTGCTGTTATTGATGGCTGGGGTCTGGGCTGGGTGTTTTTAGGTTCTTTGTCTCTCATCCAAAGAACTGAAATAAAGGCTTACACAGATTTGCAAAAGTAACCAAGAAACCTTTCCAAAGGCTAGTGGTAGGAAGGGCAGACTATGCTGCAAGAGAGCAAGAGGGACCATGATAGTGAAGCCTCTCAAGGACGCTGGGTGCTGTTTGAGGCCTCCTTCCTCTTCCTGGAAGGGAAGGGGGGCTTTTGGTTATTAGGGGTGTAGTGAGGGTGGTTCTCTTCTGATTGATAGATTAGGTAGTAGTCATATTCCTACTGCTTGTACTCCTTCCCATAATGCATCTGATTTTAATCATAAGCATACTCAGTTATGCACAGAAATAAGGTCATAAATAGGGACTGCTCCTTAAAAGTTCACTCAAGGACACGTACTAAAATCAGCTCAGACCAGATTGACCTGTAAATATTGAGTATACATTTGAATAGAAGCGTCCAAGTTTGATGGTTGTCAGAGAAGAGAAACTTACCTATTGTCCAGGGTGGGGTGTGTATTTAGCCCATGCAGGTGGGAGTCTGAGGTTGCTAACAGATCCTAGGTGCATAGGTGGGAGAGGTGAGCATGTGAACAGCATATTCAGTTAGGCCTCCAAGTGGACTATTAGAAGAGGGGTGTGATAGCCCAATCTGATTGGAGTCCCAGTTACTAAGGTATTCTTCATGATTTCCCACCTCACAGCCATCCTCAAGAACAAGCACAAAGCTTGATTGTGATGCATGTTGTGTGAAGTTGGAGCTCAGTCATTTCCATCTGTATACAGCCATAGCCTGAGTGACATCAGCCTAGCTGGATCTGGAGAGCACCACCATGAGTGAGGCCTGCAGAGAGAGCTGCAGAGTGCTCTACCAAGAGTGTAGGGCTCACGGACAGTGACGGCACCCATCTTTAATCCCAGCACTTGGGAGGCAGAGGCAGGCGGATCTCCAAGTCCAACCAGCCTGGTCTGCAGAGCAAATTCCAAGATGGCCAGCACTACACAGAGAAAATCTGTCTCCCAAAACAAACAAATGAACAAAGAAACAAAAATGAGTGTAGGTTCTCATGTGCATCAGCTGGGTGGCCAGGCTTCTTGGTCACCCACAATGGCCGCTTGGGGCTCTTTCTGGGAACTGCTTTATGTACAGCATCTGCTTTGCTGCAGATGACTGTACCCAGTGGCTTCCATGGTTGGTTTCCTGCTGGGGCAGTGATGTGAGGAGCCTGGTGCAGCACCAGGGTCTGGGCTGGGTGCTGCAGCTCTGTCGGAAGGGTGCCGGTAGGGTGCTTGCCCAGCTTGCATGAAGCCCAGGGTTCGTCTCTAGCATAAATCGGGCATGGTGGTGAATACCCGTAATCCCAGCACTTGAGAGATACATGCAAGAAGGTCAGGAGTTCAGTGTCATTGCTGGCCACATAGAGAATTTGTGGTCAACCTGGGCTACATGAGACTCTGTCTCAAAACAAACAGCCAAAACTCAATTTTGGAGGCAAATGGGGAAAAAAACCTCATAGTGCAACTGCTTTGATTTTTGAATATTGACAAATGCCTTTTTTTTCTTTTGGTTTTACGAGACAGGGTTTCTCTGTTTTGGAGGCTGTCAGTCCAGCCTGGCCTCGAACTCACAGAGATCCGCCTGCCTCTGCCTCCCGAGTGCTGGGATTAAAGGCGTGCGCCACCAACGCCCGGCTGACAAATGCCTTTTTGAAATAAAAACTAGTTCCTCTAACAACCTCCTGCCCCCCAAAAAGGAAGAAGAAGAAAAGGACAGGAAGCAGAATCTGCAGACACATCTGTGCTCTGGCAACACATTTGTCTGTGTCTGTGACTTTAGTTCAGTACAGCTGGGGGCATTAAGAACTGCTTTAGGACTGGTGAGAAGGCTCAGTGGATAGTGGTGTCTACATCAACCCTGACAACCAAGTTAAGGCCCAGGTCCCAAATGAAGGAAGCAGAAAAAACAACTCCCATATGTAGTGCTCTGTCCTCCACACATGAACTGTGACAGACACGCATGCTTGTGAATGCACATGCACACACACATACATAAATGTTTTATAATGTTATTTTTTTAAAGAAGTGCTTAGAAAGCTTTACCATGCCGTGCTTTGGGGGTGAGCAGGCCAGGAGTCCACCTGAGGAGCCCCTCATTCCCGAGTGTTAGACAAACAAGTTCATTATGCATTTTCCTCTTCCCACATACAAGATCCACTGGCCCATGGTCTTTGGCTCTACATATCTATAATGTATGAAGCTGCAAAGAATCTACCACACAGCTCTATTTTTTCTGAGACCAGGTTTCACATAGCCAAGGCTGGTCTTGAGCTCGATATGTAATCAAACTGGCCTTCAGCTCCTGGTCCTTTGTCTACCACCACTCACATGCATACTTGGGCCAGTGGAGGCCAGAAGAGGGCATTGCAAGCCCTAGAACTGGAGTTGCAGCCTATTGTGAGCCACTATGTGGGTGCTGGGAATGAAACCTAGATCTTCTACAGGGACAGTCAGTACTCTATGCGGCTGAGCTCTCTCTCCAGCCCCACATCAGGAGTGTTTGTAACCATCTCCTCTGTATTAGACGTGAAGTCATTATGGTGAGCTGGCATGCTGGGGTACCTCTCCCAGATACCTCTCCACTGGCTAGCTGTCTTCCTTGGAGTGAGAACACTGGACTTTTCCCAGAGGCCATTGTTTCTGATGGTTAATGTCCCCAAGCCCTGTGGCATAAACCTGTCATGAGGAGTTGTCAGTTGGTTTACTGCAAGGCCTCTTTGAGCCATAGGTTAATATATTAATGAAGATGGTGGCTGCTACCCTCCATTAAATAATGACCATGAGTGACTGGAAGGAAAACATCCCTGTGTCTCTTGGCAGCATGCGAGATTGATGGGAATGGATTGCCCTGCCAGGAGAGCGCAGAAATATGACAACCTTTTATTCCTCTGCAGCCTGGGTGAGGGTGTCTTCATTTCTATGTTATTATTTTGCAAAACCTTTTATGATGATTTGGAGCTAAAACCACATTAAATCATATATTTAATTATATCAAAACAGGACCCTGAGATTCTGTCACTAATCTAGCTTAATCTTGACATCTCCTCCTCTAATATTTTACTTCTGTTCGGGTCATATTAGTCAACTGGGCATAGACAGTAGTATTTATTTATCTTACTAGTTTATTTTGGTAGAGTAGTAAATTACAGAATTATAATAATTCCTCAGTTAATATGCAGCTCACAATCACATGCAGATGATATTTTGAAATATGGTCTCACTCCAATATTGGTATCAACAATTCTACAATTGCCTTTTCCACTTTTCCAGGACAGCCTAAGTGGTTTGGAATGTTCTAGCTTTTTCCTAAATTGCTCTTTTTGTTGTTTTTTGTTTTTGAGGTAGGGTTTCTCTGTGTAGCTCTGGCTGTTCTAGAATTTGTTCCATGGACCAGGCCGGCCTCAAACTCAGAGATCCTGCCTCTGCTTCCCAAGTGCTGGAATTAAAGGCACACACCACCACTGCCTGGCTCAACTCTTCTTGTTTAGAGTTCCACCTCTGCTATTATTTCTTCCATGTGCACAAACAGAGTGGGTGTGAAAATGAGCTTTCAACATAGAGGAGCAAGTGGGTGATGCCTGGAATGGTCCTGCAGGGCAACAGGCACTGTGCTAACCAGATGTGTTGACCTATACTTAGAATTACCCATGGTAGGCAAGTGAGGAGTCCCCCTTTACCCTGCTTCCCCCAGTCTACCTTTTAGGTTGAGGGCCCCTGAAATCCAATGCTCCCTCCAGGGCTGCCTGCTTCTCTTCTGGTAGAGCCAACACACTGACTCTGTAGGGATCCTCCACACACTCCTCACAAGGCCAGATTCATTAGCGTCTCAGCTGTTTCGAGGTCTAGCCTCTACTTACCTTCACCGATTCAGAAATTCCTTCAGTGGAAGACCCAAAGCTGGTCTCAGGGATTTCACACCCATGCCCATGAAAGCATGGATTGGGCTTACATCCTGAAATGATTGTAAAACCAGTGCAGTTGGGTCTCTGCTCCAACTAGCTTCCAGCTTGGCCTGTGTGCAAGTCCCAATAGAAAATGTAAACACCTTGAAGATGCTAGACTCAAGGCTGTGACATCAAAGGCCTAAAGGGATGGAACTCTGTGAAATGGAGTTGTTAGACTC